CATATCCTTCATACAATACTCTTGAAGTGGTTAGAGCCTAGCTCAATGCATTACAAAATTCAAGCAATAACCAAACTCAAGAAACATCCTCTTGTTAAACCAACTTATCGTCTTCTGTCACAAGGGATGAGGTAGACCCAGTGGATAAGTATATTAATTGGGCTAAAGTTGAAGAAAGTGGTATTGGACTTGATCCGGTTGAAGTCCTCAAAGCTTTAGGTTTTGGAGTAAGTCCTTAACCTGTAATATTATTTGGTATTCTCGTGTTACTTTGTATTCAAAATACATCATATGTTTGTATTCATAGTCGTATTGGTTGAATGATATTAATATATTGCAATCTGTAAAGTAATTATTCTTCATTAAAAAAAACACACATACACACAATTGACGCTACAAATTTTATCTTGCTTAAAATAAAATAAACAAAATTATATTACATACTAGTCTTTTAGTCAACAATTAGATCGATGATTATTTTCGTAATTTTTTTTACTTGGACCTAATCTATACATTTATCATGAAAAATGGAATGAAACATGCTTATAAAATAACTAGATCATCACCCGTACTACAGTACGGGTTAAATTTTATTTATTACAAAATTTATATATTATATATTTTAGAATAAAGTTGTGATATATTATAATAGTAATTGAAAAAATATAATTAGATTTTTGTCAGTCCCTATATATAATATTAGAATGAATATCTTTTTTTTTTTTTAATTATACTCAATTATGGATTTTTTTTAAAGATATGAAAACAGAAAATAAAATTATTTTAATAAATTAATATAGTCTGAAAAATGAGTAAATTTATATTAACAACCACAAAATGAGATTGCATATAATTCAGTTAGATCAAAAATCAAAATATTATAAATGAATCGCTTCTAAAACGTAGATTATTTTTAATTAATTAAGATAGTTAGCTATTATTTTGAATTAATTTAGAAAATTCTTTTTTCAATTTCTAATTATTTGGTTGTTGAAATAGAGATTTGTTTGAGGTAACTACGGAATTTATCAATTATTCGCGTAATCGAATATGTTATGAACATATATTTAGTATATAATATACCAAATTCAACCCGTGCGTGGAGTCTATATTTTTATTTTAGAATCCTAATGAAAATATTGCGTGCACAATCTATTATTCGTTATTTCCAAAATTGCTTGCACAATCAAATTTTCAAATATTTTGAGGTGTCAACCTTATTTAATCTATCTGATCATATAATCTTAACATGCCTTCTATTATAAGGATCATAATTTTATATCATATAATATATTACATGTAACCCTCCGCCTAATATAACTATTTTAAATATATCTTTTTAGAAAATTATAGTATTTATAATTTTTTTTTTATCTTTTTAATCTATTAAATATTTATGAATTATGATATTCATTAAAATATTAAATTAAACTATTTTTTAATGTTCCAATTAAAATCTTTAAAAATATTTCTTTTAGTATATAAAATTATGAATTTCAAAAAAGAATTATATGAAATTAAATAGAAATATTCAAACAATAATAAGGATCATAACTCATTTGTTAATATAATATATTATATTTAACCCACTGCCTATTATAAATATTGGTTTACAAAAATCAAATTAGAATATTTATTGATGATATTCTTTAAATATTGATGATATTCTTGAAAAATATCAAGTAAAACTAATTTTATATGTTGCAAATTAAAATGTTTAAAAATCTAATTATAGTATATAAAATAATACATTTCAAAAAATAAATGTATGAAATTGAATATAAATATTCAAATTCTGACCCGTTACTCAGTCTAAATTTTTGATGAACTTATTTTTGGTTAAAAGAAATATATTACTCAAATGTGAATTTTTGACCCGTTAAATTTTTTTCTTCATAGATTTTACAATTTAATTTCGTTTTTAAAAATTCAAATCTTGGCATATGGAGAAAAAAATTACTTTTTTTTGTTTATATGGATGATATGATGATTTATTTGTTTCATAAAAATAGAATCATATAAAGATGAGAGGTGAACTATAATGATTAATAACAAATTAATATGGTAAGTTAGATATCAAATCTTATATGTTCATTTTGATTGGTCATTCTTTTTTTTTTAAATTAATAATATATTTTTGTTTTTAATAATTAAATTAATTAAATTGCATAAATTAGTATTTGACTTGTTTATCCTTAATGAACTGAATTAATTTACTCTTTAAATTTTTATCTCTAATGACATTCTTAAGAAAGTTTTTACAAATGAGAAGGTTAGTTAAGGGTATCTTATAAAGTGTACTCCCCAAATAATAGTATAGGATGACTTGTGTCTTGCTTGCATGGTTGAAGTTTTTGGTTCTGATTTTGAGAAGTTGGCTCTTATCATGAAATGAGAAGGTAGATATAATTTTTGGGTTGGTCGTCGACATCATTGATAAATCTCGTTCATATGATTTTCTGAAAAAGAAGTTGACTCGTTGCTTTGGAGTTTAGACTATAGTCCTTCTTAGGATTAAGTCATTTTGTTTATGTTATTTGACTAAGATTTCAATCTCTTTTGATTTCGGTTTTAAATTTTCTGTTTTATAATTTTTATATCTCTTAGTTTCGTTTTAAATCCGGATAATTCTGATTTTTCTTCGGTTTATGTCTTCAAGGACTTTTATTCGTCCGACGGCCTAGGGGTGTTTAGTTTCTCGTATGATTCATTTCACAACAAGTTTTTTTTTTGGACAAACACTTCAAAACAAGTTTAATTCAAAAAATTTGAAGATGAAAAAAAAAACTATAAATAATAAAACGTCGGCAACTTTTTATTTTTCTAATTCAATACTGAGCTGTTAATAAAGTATTTTATTGTTTTAAATATATTAAAATATTTTATTGTTTGTGTGGAGAAAAAAAAGAAGATGACAATTGTCAGGTCCCTAGATAACCCATCTTCTCCAAAGTCCAATCAATCTACGCCTTCCAATTCGCCACGTCACACAATCCTTACCGTTAGATACAAACGCGCCAACTTGTACAGGCGGAGAAAATGACTATCTTACCCTTATACATTATCGTCTTTATCCATTTGATATTTTCTTCTTCCGGTGACTCAAAATTCTCTCAGGTCAAAAGTTGCACGGCGGCGATGTCGACGATTTCGATCCATCGGACTGAACTGCTACGAATCACGCACAATCGGTCTCGAATTCTCCGGCAGAGATTTCGGAGAACTATCCCTCTTTGGAAATTAACGATCAATTCGAGATCTTCTGATACATCTAAGAAGGAAGAACTCTCTGTGAAGATATCAATTCCTCCTCAAGTTGATCAATTAAGACCTGAAGGTTTGAGATTCGATCGTTTGCAACCTTCTGAGCCAGAGTTTGGTCATGAAGATAGATTGGAATTTGGTAAATTCGTAGCAAGAGAAGCTATGCTTGACGAAGAATATTGGGTAAGGTCACTCAAATTCTTGACCTCTTAGTCATTTTCGTTTATGGTTTCTTCTCATGAGATTGATTTTTTGTGTGTTTACTTGGAGTTTGTGTTAGACTGCAGCTTGGCTTCGTGCAGAGAGTCATTGGGAAGATCGTTCCAATGAAAGGTTCTTGTTCTCTATCTTTAGAGTAATCTTGTAACTTGTAAGCAATGATTTGTATTGAGTATAATTGGTAGTGGTCTTTCGAGTCTGTCGAATGCGATTGAACCGTGTTTAAGGAAGTATTGTATAGTTTATAAGTAGCTTAGATTGAGTGGAGATGATTGGTATGTGTGATTGATGTTGTTCTTTTATAAACACAGATATGTTGATAACTACAAAAGGAAATTTGCAGAGCAGGTAGGAACTTATATCATTTTTATCTCTTTCTTTAAGTGGAGGAAACTTTGTTCAAAGTATGATATCCACAATTACTATATTTACGTTTCAGGAGTTTAATGCCATAAAAAGAAGATGTAAAGGGATGCAAGGACAGAAATGCTCATGTATCGTTGCGGTAAATTATACTGTTTGGACTTATTTCTCTTTTAAAGTTTGCGTTTATCAGCTTTTGTTGTTGTATTAATTAGGTAAAGAAGGAAGAGAAGCACATTAAACGTTCAGTAATCAAAAGTGTGGTTGGGACGCTTGATTTGAGTATTCGGTACTTCTTGCAGGGAGAGACCTTTCCTGGGGTATATTTCTTTCGTTTGGGAATTGGGATTCAATTTCTTACCTTGGATGTATTATATTAAAAGGCTCCTAATAAGTTACATTATGTGCAGGAAAAGGTGAAGTCTCAATTGTTCTGCAGCATAAACCGGGAAGGATCAAATAGGTATGGTTATATTGCTAATCTATGTGTTGCGAAATCAGCTCGCCGCCAGGGCATTGCTTGCAACATGTTACGTTTCGCTGTCGAATCTGCCAGATTGAGTGGTAAATAATGTTGATGGAAAAGAGAAAGGCCGTCTTTGTAATGATTGTATCTAAACCGTTAAATAAGTTGAACATTTGGAGAGAATGATCTAAACCATGTCTGGATTGTATTGGTGCAGGAGTTGAACAACTTTATGTTCATGTACATAAAAACAATTCAGTTGCTCAGGAATTATACCAGAAGACCGGTTTCAAGGTAAAAACCTCAAATTCATTACTCTAAAAGTTGATAATTGATTTTCCTGACCTTACATATATGCTGTGTTATTGGTCCAGATCGTTGAAACGGGTAAATTTGAATCATTAGATGATGATACATACTTGCTCCAGTACACAAGATAACACAAGAAAACGATCTTTGTTCTCTCTGCCCTTTCTTGATTGTTTTTGTTTTGGAGAATGGGAGAGAAGAATTAAGACACAGAAGAGTGATTGATGGCTACATCTCGTGGCTCACTTGTTAATACATTTGTTTGTCATGTAAAGAATAGTCAAGTGTGTATTGAGTCCCAACTTTCATGTACAATTGTGTGTGCGTTGTGGAGAATTGTATATTTGGCTTTTGATTCAAACCTGAAATATTTGTTTTACCTATATCAAAAAGTTTATACCCATACTCATTCGAACACAAACAGAACTTACGACTTAGATATTTGATATTTGCCTTAATACATATTAAATTATAAACCAAACAACATTTGGACAAATTAGTAAATTCGTCTCTGCTCTTCTTCTCCAAAAACAACCAAAGCAGAGGGAGATGTCAGAGTTTCTTTCAGATATCAGCAAGGTTCTTTGTAAGGTGACCCAAGAAGGGATTCATCTTCAAACCTAAGATCTTGACATTAGGGTTTGAGTGACCTTTAACGAATACATCCGTCACCTGCAAAAGAGAAAAGATAGGTTTCTTTTTCAGGGCTTGTCTGTTTCTTTGCGAAGAAGACAAGGGATTTTAGGTTTTTATATTTTTTACATGAGTGCATCCAAAGACCTTCAACACTTTCAGAGATGAACAGTTATCGACAAAGTAGCCTAATAAATCGTTCGACATTTCTCGGCACCAGGATACGTCCAAAATCTGCAGCTTATCTGAATGTTTGGCAAGTGCTAGGGCCGTGTTGTGGCCAACCTGAACATAAAACAAATGTGTTAGCGTGACTTAAGCATGACTGTGAATTGGTGGTGTACTGGGAAAGAGCCCCGTTTACCTTCTTAACATTGTTTAGTGATAGCTCCTTCAGAGAACCGCCTGCGGTTTCTACAAATGCAGCGACAGCTTCATCACTATAGAAAGAGACATATGAAGCGTCTGTTAACTTAGACATACAACACAGCCATCACACAGTTCACCAGAACAAGACTATAAAACATATAACGTCTCCAAAATAAACAGCGATTGAGTCATTTAACGAAGTAACACCATAAGTTTCTCACACAACGAATATAAGAAAATCATGGATCAAGTTCTTATATATAACAGGCCATGTTACCATATCAAATGGCAACATAGCACAGTTGTACCGAAATAACATGAACATTTGAATGAGATAGTAACCTTCCAGTAAGCATGAATACAGATGGGTATAGAGACTTGCCTGAAAGAGTTGCGACAAAAAATCAATTTCTCCAGAGCTTGACAGCCATTTGCAAGGTAACCCAGAGAAGGATCCGTCAACTTGCATACGTTAGCCAGGTCAAGCACACTTAAATTGGGACAGTTTTCAGAGATGACTTTAATAGAAGAATCAGTTAATTTTCTGCATCAGATTCACGAAGCCAAATAAGGTAAACTCAATTCAGAGTGACCAAAATCAAAGGGGGTGAACAAGGAAATTCAAGAGGCATACCCAGAGTTGGTCAAAATCAGCTGCTTCAGGGTTTGTCCTCTAGCAGTAACAAACTCCTTCAAGAACTGACCCTTGACTGAAGGGATATCCGCAAGGGACAATACTTCCAACTTCTCAAACTTTTTTAATGCTGAGACAATAAGTTTCATATCGATGTTTTGGCACTCATTGATATACAGTTCCCTTAGAACTGACCCCAATGAATCAGATAACATATCAATGCTAGATGATGTTAGAAGAGAGCATTGGCTGAGATTAATAGATGTAATCGCAGGAGCAGAGGAAACAAGTGCCCGTAGCCCCACATCGGAAAGCCGGCATGCACCACTTAAAGATAAAGAAGATAGCATCGGCAACTGTTTTGGTGACCTTGCTAAGGTGGAATGTAATACATAATCTGGCATACAACGCCCACACTGGTCGAGTTGAAGAACCTGTTTCAAGAAGATGGCGAATGTTGACTTTAGTTACAGTGTACACTTTAATATCATTTTACGCATGAAGAACTTTATCTAAGGTATGACAACATGTTTATTACGGGATAATTCATGATTTCTTCCTTCCAGTATCATTATTTCCAAGAACGGGCAGCTAACCTCACATATGATTCAATTTCCAATCTAAGCCAATTAACTACATGAATAAAATGGTACTCAAATGTTGTCTTGACAGGAAGTTTTTCTTTTTCTTTTTTACCTAAATGCAATATATGATGCGGTATTAAAGTTAAACTGAACTTGTAAGAGTACGTTACCATCAAGGTGCTGGTGTCGCAATTCTTAAAACATTCAGTGAATTGTTCCTCGGTCAGCCATGAGCAATCTGGAACACAAATTTCTGTTGGAGATCCCTGGACAAGAAGATCAAGAAAGTGTACATTCATTCTCCTAGAATCACAAAGCATTTGACAAAGTTTGACCCTCAGTGTGTCTGGAACATAGTCAAGCGAAGTGATGGCATCAGCATTCTTGACAAGAATTCGCAAGGATAGTTCTTGCAGAGATGGAGCCCTCCGAGGGGGAAAACTATAGTTACTTCTGGGAACCCAAATAGTAGGTGAAGATTTTTCTTTGTTGGAGACACCAATACCAGCATATGGAGTCGTGTTCTCTTCTCTGTCCTTAATTATTTTCATGGCAGTGGAGAAAGGACCAGGCCAATCTTCGACCTGTTGTTCACCCTCTCTATCTGACAAGTCCTCTTCTTCCTCAATTTGAGCATCAAAACGAGCAAATCTGGAAGCATTCCTCTTGGCAATGTCACGATAGCGCTGAGTTCTTGAACCGTTTCCAATCTCATTACTATTTTGATTCTGCGTTTGTTCTACATTAACCGCCGCCGCAGCCAATTCTGGTACAGAGACAACCGGGGGCTCCTCATTGTTAATCAAACTCTCAATTACCATTTCTTCTTCATCAACTTCAATCGTAATTGGAGAAGAAACATCCTCCACCTGAATAATACCCTTTCCCTTCTCCTCCCGAGTATATTTTCTTCTACCCATAGAGCTACTCGCCTTCTCAAAACTCTCAACACAAATGACATCACTTTCTCCATAGGAATCTTCCATTATCCCCTTCCCTTTGTTCTTGCTCTCATTCTCTACTTCTACTACATCACAATTCTCCGCTAACGAGTCACCTAACACACCACTACCACTTCTATCTTCCATCACTGCCTTTCCCTTCTCCTCATTAACCATAAAGCTGGATTCTGAATCGAGTTTAACATCTCCATTAACCAAATTTCCACTATTCTCTAATTCATCCTTCACAATATTTTCCTCAACCAAATCCACACAAACCCTCTTTCGTTTACTCCTACTTCCGCCTAATTCGCTATCGAAATCAAACTTCCTAGACTCAATTTCAGTTCCATAATCAACACCTCTCTTAGCAACTCTCTTCCCTGACCTTAAACTCAAAAACTTATCATCCACATTCCACTCTCTTCTCTCGCCACTAACCTCTTTTTCAGTGACACTATCATCGCCGTCAAATTGGTGTGAAAGACGAAGACTACGCCTCCGGGTAGTGTGAGTGGGTTCATCAACAAGACCCAATTCATCCGGCGAGCGGTGAACATCGGGCTCTAGTGTCCGAGCAGGAGTCGACGGCTCAATGTCGGAATGTTTAGGGAGTGGCTTGGCTGAGACCGATGGGGTTTCGCGAGATCGAAGAATCGTCATGGAAATCGAAATCTAGAGGAAAAGGGAGAGGAGGGTTTACGAGGGTTTAGGTGAAGAGGAAGATGAAGAGGAATCGTCGTCGGTTGGATAAATGGATTTAGGGTTTGTTGCCGATTTTCGCGCCAACCGATGCAATGTTTTTTTTTTTGCCTCTTTTCTTACCATCGGAGCAATTTCTTTTATATTGACAGAATTATAACTTTAGTCAATAAAACATAATGGTCATTTAATTTTTATGCAAAATTAATCATTTATACCATATTTTAATTGTTTGACTATAAATTTTCCTTTTTTTTTCCTTGAAGATTTACCAAAAAATACTGAAATTTTCGGGGCGTTACAAAGCGGATTTTCTCGTATTTTTGGCTTCTTCGATTTATTATCTCGATGATGGAATAAAGTTAGTTTTTCGATAGCTTCCATTCCATCTTTGCAAGAGAGTTATAACTTCTTGGTAAAGATCATGATTTATTCTTTTTTTTTTTTTTCGTCTGAATTATTCCATTATATTATACGATTGAAGGTTACAAGGGTGGGATGCGGTTTTAGTACACAAAGCCGGCAAGAGATAAACTCTTCCAGAGACATAAGCTGGCGAGTACAAAAACACTCCCAGAGACAAAGACCAAACAAGGTAAACAAAGGGGAAAAAACCCAAACAAACCAACTACAACCATAAATAATTCCCGGATCAGAATCTAGAAACCCAAAAAAAGACTTACAAAACCTAAACTTTAGAAAATTTAATCAAATCTGAGATTAAGAAAAACACACAAACGGGATAAAATACAAGAATCTCCTTTACCACAAGTTGGAACTGATTGAAAGTGCCGTGCGACCCTCTTTATAAAGCTCCAGAGAGGAGCCACGGAGGCGGTGAGACACATCCAAAATCTAGAGACTCAAGGATCGTCTCTTGAAGAAAGGAAGAAGATCTAGAGACTCAAGGATCATGATTTATTCAACTCTACAGAAATCAACATATTTAATTAAAATTTGATAATATAGGTTTTGACCCAAATTGATTCTATCCTATTCGACAATAGATGGAAAAATACAAAAAAAAAAGTTGCTAAATAATTAAAGCTTTCTTCGGTTAAATTGGCTAGAAAAAAACTTACCAGTTTCGGATATATTTTCAAACTCGATTTAGTATTACTCAATGGTAGATTATATTTTTGATAGCAGGTTAAATCTGGTTGATGTTAATATTTAGAAAAATATGATTTCTCTTTATTTGTGGTAGCAAATTGAAAATTTGGGTGTGTTACTCTTCGGATTCATCAGTTGTTAAAGAGTTGAGAAACAAGCAATCTCTTCATGTCTTGGCTTCTTTTTTTTTTGGGGTTGTTATGATAATTGTTAGTGAGTCTGCTTTTTCTTAATTTCTATAGGTTCTTATCTTTTCTAAACTCCTACGTTCTTGATTTTTTCTTAATTAATATCCATATACTTATGTGTTTTGATTTCAATGTTCTTGTTCATTTCTTATTTACGTTTCGATTATTTCAGAAGTACTAGCTACAACGGTTCTTGACGAATTGCTTTAAATTGAGAAATACATAAATTAAGTTGGAAAAAATAGCTCAAGAATTGCATAGATGGAGGAAAAAGAAAACAAAATTGAATGTTGGACAGTGAAGGAAAATTATAGATCTTGCTTGCTTTGACGGGGTTGAATTTGATAGACATTTCTGGTTAGATTTTGTTAATGATTGGTCAGTAACTCTCTAACTTTGCTAGATTCTCTTTCTCTAATTTTGGCACTTTGGTTTTCTAAAGCTCTTTCTTTTATTGCTATGAAACATACATTTTTCTTAAGTTGTGTAGTTTAGTATCTCTTTTAACATAAGATATAATTTCTCTTCCAATTTCATGTTCCCCTTGACTCTCTCTGCTTGGTTTCTATGAGATGCACTGCAATTTGAGTCACTACAGAGACAGTTTACCTCACTTTTGTTCTCATTTAAGTAATCTCTGCTTTAGATATGTGTCTGAAGGATATCTGTCTTTTAATTATATGAAGGGTTCATGATTTACTACCACCAACCAATGGCATTCAATAATATTTGAAGACAAACAAAGATATTTGAGTGACACTTGTTGATTTTTGGGTGAAACATGTTTTACCTGGGAGAGAAATGTTTGATAGCTCTGTTGTGAACTTGTGACGGATCCTTTGGTTGAAGTGTGGAACTAATGTGGTATTGATCTCTCTGTTTCTTGAAATCTATTTATTTAAGTTGTATAATTTAGTATTTTGACAAAAAAAAAAAAATAGTAATACTAAAAATCTCACTCCTCTTTACTTGACCCTCTCTTCACTTAGTACTCGTGTCATGTATTTATCAATTTTCAACAAATTTTATTTTAGAGTCAACTTCTTCTTATTATTATTTATTAACCACATAGTCAACTTCTTCTTATAGACAAGTTTATCGTAAGTAGTAACGTAACTTAACCGACTACAACACCTTAGAAAGTTAAAACTTTAATATATTTTATTTTTAATTTTCATTTTCAACACCTTTCATATTCACATATGTTTTGTTTTGATATCAATAGTAATCTTGTTCAAATTTGATGCGACAGATCTCCGGATAAATACTTGTTGTTTGTCTCTTGACCAATTTTTTTTGCTTTGTATCTATCTCTTTTTTTTTTCACTAAAAGTCTGATTATTATATAACATTGGAACCATATATCTGTTCAGACCATTACAACAGTGGAATATAATTAACCACTTACAAACATGTGTTACTACTATTCTATTACAACCTTAGGATTATCAACCGAAGAGAGATAATTCCATATTTATCTAAAGCAAAAGTAGTCAACCGAAGAGAAATAATCCCATATTACAACCTTAATTTTTCTGTTCTTTTATTCTTTTAACGCTATTCATGTACTAGGATATTCCAAAAAATAAAGATATTTCATTATAATTGTGTAGTCGATTCAACTAATTCAAGTCAACTATTAGATGACATAAACGTATATATCAAAATTGGGTTCTATCTTTAATCAAACTAAGTGACAATAAATAAATAAACACTACATCATATTCATTAATAATTAGGAAATTTTGCATCTAGATACACTTTTTTCAAATTCAATAACTCAATGGGACATTTTTAAGACATAAGATACTTTTCTTTCTTAAATTTTAGTTTCAGATAAAACGACGTCGTCACACACATGACATCCACGTAAGCAACCGTTAACGGCCTCTTAACACCGTCACGGCTTAGGCATATATTTGCACGATTTTGCTTGTTTGGGATGTGAATTTGAAATTTTAGTTGGTTAATGTATGGACTTGCACAACAATACATTTTGGGTATGAATCGAAAATAGTGTTTTAGGTGGGGTATGAAATGACCGATTTTTCTGTAAACTTACAATGAAAACTAAGAAGAATGAGAATAGTTTCAGGCTCTTGTGATTCAAGTCTATAAATCAAAGAGGGACGAATGTGATGTTATTACAATCTGACATGAGAAATAAGAGATAAGTTCTGAGGAATTACTCATAAAGTTGCAGAAATGGCCTATGTAGGATTTATGTTTCTCAGTTTCTCTCGCTCTCCTCTCTCCCTCTTTTTTTTGTTCAGCAAAAACACAGCCGGTTTCCTTATCGAATGAAAAAGACGCTTCACATCCATGTACTTAACATAGATTGCACGAAGCCCCTGTGATGATGACTTGTTGGCTATTTGTTGATGTAAAGTAATCATTTTGCGAGATAGCTCCCTTCAACAAATAAAAAAAACGCATCAGAGAATTCCTAATGTATTCAACATATAACAAACTAATTACAACAAATCAAAAAATGCACCAGAAAAATCCCTAATGTATCTAACAAGTAACAAACTTACAACAAATCAAAAAACACATAAGAGATTCCTAATGTACCAAATAAATATCAAACTTAAAACAAATCATAAAACGCCTCAGATAATCCTATCTAACAAATAATAAATAAGTTTGTTATTCTTACTCAATCGCCCTTTCTTTGTAGCTTGTGACTGTGCTCAAGTTAGCCAGGGTTATAGAATCTTCAGATTCATTCATTGTGCAATGAACTGTGTAAATTGCTAAAGCTGCTAGCATCGAATGAACGATACTCCACCATGTCGAACTCAAAAAAGCTAAGCTCGATGAAGAAGAGGGATACATGCTCAATCTGAAACAACACAATTGCATTAGCTGGTTTTCTTACATAGAGATTCAAGCGTAAGGGAGATGCAAACCTGGATCTGAGAATTGGTAGCATGATGAAACAATCTCATGAACATGTAGGGAGCTGGTAAACTAAACTCAAAGTTCAAGGTGCGGGTTATTAGAAGCATGATGAAACATTCTCATGAACATGTAACTATTTTTTTGATGTATGCAAAATTTTTAACGAAATTTTGGAAATATTTTAAACCTCCTAAACTGATTCAACTTTATATTTTGGGATGTTATTTATGAAATTTATAACTAAAAGGCATAAATCCCTTCTAAAATTTTATGCAATTTTTAATTTGAGCCTAAACTCCAGATTCGAAAAAACATATAATTTGTAATTTGAGTCTAAACTCTAGGTTCAAAAGAACAAAACCAAAATATACGAAATACAGTTATATATACAAAGCTATAAATAAAATTTAGACAAAAAAAACCCGAATAGTCGATAAAAACTTGAATAACCGAACAAAAAATACACGATCAATATACCAAAGAAATCCGGAACATCTCAAAAATAGCTGAAATAGTCAAATATACCCAAAAATATCGGAAAACTACCCAAATCTTTTTGTGGTTATTCGGTACTTTTTGATTAGTCTGAAATTTTAGAACCAAGACCAAAAAAATACTCAAAATGTTTTGGTTCATACTCGGTTATTCAATCGATTACTGAACCGAATGTGATCAAAACCGATATTGAACCAAAAGAATTTTGGTACCTATATAGATACTAAACTTTAGAACCAAAAGAATATGAATCGAATAGAACCAAACCGAAACAGATTCGAATATCAGAACGCCCATGAATAATTATAAAAATACTTCAATTATTTAATATAATATAAAA